TGCCCGATTGATGTGTGTATAGTGTACAAAAACTGCTTCGGCGAACACTTTTGACCGCTACTACACATTAGTCGAGAGTGGAACACTTTGAATACGCAGAATTTAGAATGCAGTCTTAATCAAAGTTCAATAATATGAGGGTTCTTTTTCCCAATCGTCATGGTGGTCACTACTGCATTCTACCGCGGAAGTGGGAAGTCGGAGCTGAAGACGAACGACTGGCTAGGGTGAAGCTTTGCTTGATCATGCATATAGTACGTCCACGCCTACCATAATTTATGACTGTCCTTGAGTAATACTGACTATTTCATACTTGCACGCATGCACACATAAAAACGTTACACCAATAAAGTCTACCTCTTCTCCCTACAGAAAATGTGAAAATTTTGCAAAATAAAGAAAAATGCGAATCAACATCCAAGAAGGGGCGGGATTCGGTCAAAACAATGAAGAAAGGGACATTGAGCGAGAAAGAAAGTGTGGGCGAGTGAAACCTAAAAGGGAAGACAAAGAAGTGTTCAAAAGCAGTAGTGAGAGATTTATAGTTAACGTTGTCATTATGTGATAAGAGATGGATAAAATTTAAGTTGGATGCATAGCATAAGGGGAAGAGGACGAGCGTCCGTCTCGTAGACATCAAAAAAGCAGACAGACGGGAACTGATGGGAAAATGCATTACAATCCGAAAATTGCCAGTGTAGCAATTCGATGTGATGATGGTGGTGAACTTCGCGATTCAGATCCGAACTTCTCCTTCTCTTCCGACATGATGGGGGTTGAGGGTTCATGCACGACACAACTGATGGGTGCACCCTATTTATGCAAATAGGTTAACTGCTGAACACCATCCACTACCCCCCCCCCCTTCCTTTGAAAACTCTGTTCTTTACACCGTTCCCCTTACAAATCCTCTGCTATTTATGATACAATCACTGTAAGAGGCCGAGACACTGGAATGAAAAAAAAATTGCGTTGGACGTAGACCATCACAAAGGAGCTGCCGTGGGTTCGCAACGAAGAGGAGGCGTCAGCCTTCAATCGATTTTCCACTTTCATGCCTAGCAGGCCGTCTCAACTTTCCGAACGGGCTAGTGTGGCATGAGACTTGTTTGTGGAATGGGTGAAAACAGCGGGGCCCAAGAGTTTACTATAATACCAAATCGTAGTCGAACTACAATTGTGACTTAAGCACGAGGGGCGTGTGGCATCAATTGTTTCAACTTCTGAATTTTAGGTAGCAGTGAAATGAACAAAATCCTCAGTCTTCCTGCTTTGTTTTGAGCACTATGATTGGTCAACAATTAACATCGAGAAGACAACCAGATTTACACAGAAATCAAAGATTAGGCACACCAATACATCATGCGGTTTTCCGGGGACCTTCAAAACAGGAAGCTTACAAATGGATTCCACAGGAAGTAAAATGAGAACTCAGTGTAAAACACCGCGTACGGTTTCATTCAAGAGATATAAGACGTTCAGGCCCCTTTGAGCTGGAAGATCCACTGGAGTAATTCTTATAGGCAAAAAGAAGGTGTATGGTATGATGGGCACCAGCTCAAGAATTCGGAACAACGCGACGAAAGATGATACAGGTGATACGACGATGATAAAGCGGAGATGTTGAGGGACGACAATTGATTGAAACCAATGCTACACCGGACCTTTAAAAAACACTGCATTACAAGAAACCCTAAAGAAAAGTCAGTTTCAGTGAAAAGGGTGGTTTAGAAAAACACCTGGTGAAGGGACGTTTTTGTACTATATTTCTATGACAAGAGTACAATGCAGCAATAAACGGAATCTCCGTCGTTGACGGCTCAAATGAAGACGGACGGCCATATCACCGAACAACACTTTCAGAGGTTCAGACGTATGTTTCCCAGAAACGTTCCATGACCTGAACCACTCCAATAGGATTTTAAATGAAACAAAAGTTATATGCCGCTTAATAAGCGGTTTTCAGAGCTGACAGATCAACGCAAAGGCGTTGCAACTGATTTCGTGGCATTTTATGCTTCAACGCAGCCTGTTTTCTTTTTTTGCCCTTGTTTTTATGCGATACCGACAGTCTTTCCTAACTGTGTTACGCCACACCAACATAAATGTCCCCAAAAACAATGTTACTATTGATTCGTGCAGAAGCATTTCACACTTCGAACCGCCGTTACACTAGCACGTAAAAATGGTTACCGAAAAAGAGCCCGCGCGTGAAATCAAACCCACTCTAAAGTACACTTCAATGACATTGTTCTTTTGCAAAAGACATGGTTTTGCATACGCAGACAATGCATTCTTCGAATAATGCTATGAGCAGGCCGTCAGAGGTCCGGGCGCAGCCAAACCCAAATTGTTTTTTTACGGAACAATATGTGATCCTTTTTAATTACTAGACTGCTTCAATCACGGTAACTCTCTGAGAATTCAGTTACCCACACTGACGACGGGTAGTCCATATTCTCGGATCCCGAAGATCCATAGGAAAGCAAATGCACAATTTTTTTATATTTTGGAGATAAAAACCGTGAGATATTGTCTAATTCTCCCAAATGTCAAAACAGTGCGCCTCTTTAATGGTTACATAAAACCTGAATGAAGAGATCCGCAAAATCACTGCTTTTCCATGTCAACAGGTAGCAATTTCGGTTCAGCACCGCTGATAAAGTAAACGCCAAAGATTTGTGACTCTGGCAGAATGGATGCATGCTTTCATCCGAAATCGACGTGACGTGGGATCCGAGCCGAAATATGTTACGCTCGTTTTTTCGTCTACCTTAGCTTCTGAAATGAGTCAAATTTTATAAACAAAATGTGGGCAAGTGACAAGCTCTCGTTGCAAGGTGGAATTTTATTCATTAGATCGTCGACAATCGCCTTAATTTGCATAAGCAAACAAAAATCAAAGACTTCGGCAAAAAGTCCCTCGCTAAAAAATTGATGGATGAAAAGCAGACCGATTAATGGCGAGCTAGATAACTGCGCAAAAACTAGCAAAAAAAACAATTGGATGGAAAGCCAACATACTTGCATGCACGACACGAACAGTTCTGGTGGAGTAGTTACTGGCGATTGTAACTCTTTTTTTATTCATTTCCCACTTCCTTGGGCGTCAGCGCAATTCTCACATGTCACCCCAACTCGGCTTATTCACCTTAGATTAAAGGCGTTGTCTCGGACATGTGGTGTGGGCTATTTGCACCCAATACGAAACTTTGGTGTGAATGCGAAGGCCAGGTAAAGAAAAAAGGAAATAGAATCCGTAGTTAAGGCGCTCACATTCCTAGTCGGCTGTGCTAAGGGATTGGGAGACTAAGCACGGAGAGGAGAATATGAGGCGAGAGAGCGCCAGACAACACCCTGATAATAGAAGGATGAAGGATAAAGCATTTGCCGTTGATCAATTCCTTTTTCGAGATGCGGACGCATGTACAGTCGAGATCCGTAAGTTGGGGTAGGCGTGTCACCGGAAGTGACGTGGACTTGATAGAGGTTGCGTAGGTAAGTCGCTGCCAGCATGCTTTGCTGATATCTCGCGATATATATTGGAAGCCCTTATCCACATAGATTCTATCAAGTACACGTCACTTCCGGTGACACGCCTACCCCAACTTACGGATCTCGAGTTATACTTCCATTTGTACATTCGTAGTGGCGTTTGAATGCGATGTGGCCTATACAATGACTTGCGGGGGCCAGCCGATGTACAAGTCAGTGTTTTTATCCTCCCAGACAAGTCTGGTACCAATTAACCGACCCCGGAGGGATGGAAGGCTTGGTTGGCCCGGGCGACTCACGACCCAGGATTTGATCCCCGGACCGCTCGCGTGGTAAGCGTGCCACTTGCCACTACACCACTTCCGCCCACATTGATAATGAAAAAAATTGCAACTTCACCAGCTTACTTTGCAAGGCCCAAGCGCTCTTGTCGGTTGGTTTCCGTGCACGGGAACGCCACATTTGTGATTGTCCTCTAGGGGTCTATACTACAGACCGAAAGGAAGCGTTCACACGACCTCTGCTTGGGTTGTGCCTTTAATGAAAAAGAACTAAAGGTTAACACCTCACCTGTATCAACTGTTCTCCTTTGCAAACATCCAAGTGTGAGCCAGGTGGTGGTCTAGTTGCCCAGTCGGGCACTGCGAACTTTGACTTCTCATCTACTGCAGCCGTTGTTGCCACCGCCTTCACTGCCGGCGCTGCCGCACTCTCACCGGTCATCACCGACCAGTACCTATAACTAGTTTATTTCAATGAACCTCATATTAGAATCCATTACACAATCATTTTCTCGGCACAACACGGATTATATCACGTCTACGCAATCAAGGATTACGATACATAGAAACGAACCGGGAAGGACAAAACGACAATAAAACAAGCGTTAAAAAGAGGAGATCAGATGATCGTAACGGCTACTACTACTAGGACAGATTATGGACTAGATGGGAAAGCTAACTTGATGGAATATGGTATTTTGGCACATTCGCACTAATTCACTACGTGACATATCAATCGATTCAGAATTTAGACAATACATATATGTGAGTGGACTACTAGTTAACCTGGAAAACTCAGAATCAGCCTGGAATCTTTAACTGCTTGTGCCATTTCAGTATTACTAGAAACTGGCAGGGAGGGAACAGAGCAATATAGCAATGTGTTAATGCTTAGAAGCCCATAAATGAAATTCGTTAAAAACAAATCTGTAACGAAATTAATAAGAGCGTATAAAGTGGAAGGAATGGAATGAGGGACGTGGTAAATAAAGCCAAAATGGAAGGATTTCAGTGCTGGAAGATATCAGGTTGCTGGTTGTCACTTATTTTCCGAACGGCAAGAAACCCTTGACGGTTTCAAAAGCGCCGGTGGCCAGCGTCTTCGCCTTTTCCACTTGTTCAGTTAGACCGAGTTGTCCAATGATGCTATCATCCTCAGCGTTCATCGCTGCTGCCAGTTCCTGAATCATCGACAATTGGCACAATCAGTCGAAGCACCTATCTAGAAAGACCTAACAAGCTTATTTCGGCGATAATTTGGCAACTACTTCTAAGAAGCAGTCAGTAGCATTTACAATAGTAACGCTCAAGAAAATAAGCACTAACTTCAGGCGTCTTTCTCGGTGCACCGATGCGCCCTTCGGTGAAATCCATTGCGGCTCCAGCACCCTCCTCCTTCTTATGAATCTTGTACTTGTCACGAATGCCTTGACGCATTTTCTCTCTTTCTGCTTCCATCTTTCTATGTCTCTCTTTGCGGCGCTCCTGTTCCTCGAGACGTGCCGCTACGACCTGTAACAGTTTTTACGTACCGTGCTTAAAGTACAACACAAACATATAGAGCTAAAAATCGATAACTTTAATTAACATTTTTCAAAATCTGTGACAATTGTACTTTACTATTCATCATCAGCCCCATGTCGATAACATTCTTTCACCAGATCTGCCCTGAAATCCTACTCCGCAGTATCCTTTCCAATGCATAATCGTTCAACTCGAATGAAAAATTCCTAGCCTCTCTTTACAAGCCGATAAACAGGGGCAGTTATGCAAATTTGTTTGCCTAAGTATTTTCAGGAGAAGGGCTGACGCCAGCAGTGTACTAGTCTCTCAAACGTGTCTCAGGAGAGTTTAGCCGCATTAGCGTGGCCCGGCGATTCCGTCGCAGCCGCTGGCAAAAACAACATTCTAAGCCGAAAGTCGATGGCGATATTCAGACACTCTCTCCTTTGCCGCTACGATACCGACATATTTATTTTGAAACTCGACTCCTTTTACACAGACTCCAGAAAGAAAAAGCAACCGACACCAAAAAATCTCAAAGAAATGTCCAAAATTTATCAAGCTCAAAGAGATATTGAAGAACTGAATCATCCGTTCAACTAATAAAAACTACTAAGAGTAAAAAGAGAACGCAAATTCTGTATTTCTAAACAAACCTCTGGGTCTTCTCCTTCGGCTGTCTTCTCCGCATTATCGTCTCCACCTTTGAGACCGAGGCCACCAGTCACTTCATTGAGCTGGTTGCCCACCATTTGTTTCATAAGGAATCCAGCCATTTTGGTTAGTTAGAGGGCAGAGTGATCTGAACATAAAACATAGATCGGCTACTAATGGTAAGTTCAAGGACAAGCTGGTTACATTAATCATGCTATACAACCATGAAAAATGACAAATGAAAATTCACAAAAAGGTTTGTCTAGACTCTACTAGAAAAAGGGGTGAAATGCTATGCTATTACAAAAATTAAATTGCGATACACTTGTTGAAACGAACCAGGCACTTTTCAAGAAGTGGCATTCTATAAAAGAAATCCGACTGCAGTAAACAGAGCGAGACAGCGATAAAATCTTCCCCGAGAATTTCAATAATCAAATACTTGGGTTCAAGTCCATGCCACGTAAGTAAGAATGTATGCGTCCAGAAATTACTTATGATGCGTGATAATTCTTGGACGGAGGTGATATAGTGAGAGCTGCATTGTCACCATGACCATGCTTTCGCCGTCAAATCCCAGCTTAAATTCGGCCCACGCCAAAACCTTCTATTCCTTCTAAAGGGGTGACAAGCGGGTATTAAACTTCACTATGAGGACGAAAACTTGATTTATCGCGGACCATGAAGTCATTATATAGGCCAGTTCGCAAATAAATGCAACTCTGATTCTGAGTGGAAGTCAAATGCTCGATGCATCCAAGATCACGAGAGTATAATAGGGGGAAGGTGTGGTTCATTAGGACAGAAAGCGACTTTTTCGCGTTTCGCAGCGCGAAATTGTTCGTTGCGGGGATCTCAGGGTCCGCTGATGATTCGCTGCGGGAACCTCGGGTCCACTGGTGATCAGCGGTGGACCTGAGGTTCCCGTAGCGACAAATGTTTCGCGTTTGCAGACCGCGAGAAACGCCAGCTTTCTGGTACCTAGTGAATCGCAAGAATATGATACGACACCTACTAGAAAAAACAGCAGCAATACTTCATCAAAACAAGAACTTATGCGATATGACGAGAAATCAGGTGAGCTTCTAACGGTGCAAATTTAGTAGTATTATGTGCAAAATGGGGCGGAAGTGGTGTAGTGACAAGTGGCGCGCTCACCACGCGAGCGGTCCGGGATCAAATCCTGGGTCGTGAGTCGCCCGGGCCAACCAAGCCTTCCATCCCTCCGGGGTCGGTTAATTGGTACCAGACTTGTCTGGGAGGATAAAAACACTGACTTGAACATCGGCTGGCCCCCGCAAGTCATTGTATAGGCCACATCGCATTCAAACGCCACTACGAATGTACAAATGGAAGTAGAATGCGTGCCGCATCCCAAAAAGGGATTGATCAACGGCAAATGCTTTATCCTTTATTTATGTTCAAACATTAAATCCTAATTAACAACTTAAGGTTTTATCAGTGAAGGTATGCGGGGGGGATGGTCTGAAAAGGTCATAAAACGTTCACGAGTTAGATTTTACTTCACAAAAAAACAACTCCGCCTTGGCGAGGCTCTTTTCGTTGAGATCACCTACGTTTCTTGTATGACCTGCCATTTAGGTCTTGAAGCGGAGCAGACAAAAAAGTTTTGCAAAGCGAAGCTTCTCAAGCTCCTGCAGGAAATCACACGCATGCTCCCTCAAACCATTCTACACTACCCATGTGTTTAAGAAATTGAGTGCAGCTAAATGGGCATAATCATAAAGAGGATGAGAAACAGCGAAGGGGAGGAAGTGAGTTGGGTGGTGGCAACCTGTCCAAATCATCGAACAAACTTGACTGGACACAAAACAGATGGGCACACGGAAACTAGTGGAAAAACAAAACCAGTAGACGTTTCCTACAAGATGTGACCTTAAAGCAATTCACATTATCGTCCACAGCATTCGTGGGGACATTTAACTTTATTTATCTATTAAATTACTAGGTTAAATTACGAGAAATGTCATGCATATGAATAATGTCCTAGAATCGATATTCCAACTGCGAGGCGCTCTCCATAAGTCTCTTTCTCAACGACTAAGCTGCCAAATGAGCCACTCAACCAGAAACTACTTATCGATAGCCTCCGCTGAATACCGGTCATTACTCGCGTTCTTACATTAGCTCAAGGGTAGTCAATGAACCTACAAGGTTGCTCAAGTATATATCCTCAAATATATCTATGCTTGGGATAAAAACTAAAGAGCCACACCAGAACCGTAGAGCAGACCTCTAGTTAATAAGAGAAGTACGGAGAAATACATGATCCTAATACCTGTCCCACTAATGAGACCTATCCAAAAACCAAATCTAGTTGACTAGTAGCCAACATCTAATGAGATTTAGGGCCAACATTAGGACAGAAATCTAATCTCACGCTTGTTTTGCATGGGAATAAATCATATTGCCGAGGAAACAAGTAAAAGGGTTCTGATTGATTCTCTAAGAATATATTCCCCCCCCCCCCCCACCGAATCAAGCTTCAGTGATTCAACGTCTTGTTAATCTTTGAAGGTTTTGGCCAGCTTATAAATTAGACAGAACACTACAGCAATGTGAAAAAACTACTATGTTAACCACGATTAATGATTATCGATTATGCAAGTCATAGTTAGGTATCACCAATAGAAACCAAGTGAACTAAAAGAGACACGTGCTCCACAATCAGCAACACGCTTATCTTTTCGTCACTCAAGAAATTGGTTCAAATGTCCAGCTACACTTTGAAGGTTTCTTATCATGCTTCGAGTCAACAACGTCATTTTATTTCTTTTGATAAGCGGTCTGATCTAATCGGGAGAATTTCCTTATATTTCATTCGTAACATTATGGCTTTGATCAAGCTCACTCGACTACGAAAAAAAAAACTTGCTCGGCATTTCAAGTTTTTTGTTCTTTGAGCCGAATTGTTCCGGCGCTTCAAAAGGACTCCATAAAGAACGGACGCAATTTGCCATGCGTAGCGCATTTCGCCCATCAAGCGAATAATGCGCACCTCTGAATATTGAAAGGCTGCTTTTCTGGGTCGTCCACATTCGTCGAGCATATTCAGGGAGACTCCAAAATGGTGGCATGATTCGGACTACCAACGCTAGAAGAAACGTGTCCTACACGAGCCCCTTTTGCTCATGTAGTTTCGCATTACTCCCACATTTCTCGGATTACCTTCTTGGTAGCACACCCTGGATGCAATAGCAAGCCGATAAAGTCTGTTAGGATGCCCTAATACACATTCAAAAGCCTATTTACCTGCGGTGCGAAAACTTCAATGCGAAATAGGATGACCACCTTGAGCCTAATATTTTGAGGTGATTTTTTGTGAGGGTTAAAGACCTGGTGATTAACAGGCACGATCTCTTGTCTCTTACTATTACTGTACCTATGGACATTCATAAGCCTCGCACACAATTCATAATAGTCAAAGGATTGTGATTAACGGGCACCATCTCTTTTGTTTGTATCGCTTTAATTTGCATGAGAGAGCAGGTGTGTACAATTTATGCAATCCTGATTGGAATCACCTAAAATGAAAGGCAATCATGACTATGAGTATGAGCAAGCTATTCCACTTTCTGCGAACCAACCAAGACCGGAATCAGACCTGAATAATCTGATGAAGCGGCATATCTTCTAGGCTTACTTTATTGCCCTACTTTCACGACGAAAGTTCCAACAACTCGTCGTGAAACCCGTCAAATACACCCTTTTTGCGACAACCGCCTCCACTTTTTTAAAGGAAGTTAACCTAGCTCAACCACAAAATGCGACCCCCTCGCCCTAATAGTGCGAACAGAGTTGACCCTGACTGGAAGGGCATCTGCAGGAGCTTTGATAAAGCAGTGGAAACGTCTCACATTGCGACGAAAATAGACTCTTAAAAACGTAGCAATTTTAAAATAAAGACCAGATGGTACAGTAATAGTAAGAGACAAGAGATCGTGCCTGTTAATCACCAGGTCTTTAACCCTCACAAAAATCACCTCAAATATTAGGCTCAGAGTGGTCATCTCTATTTCGTATTGAAGTTTTCGCACCGCAGGTAAATAGGCTTTTGAATGTGTATTAGCATCCTAACAGACTTTATCGGCTTACTATTGCATCCAGGGTGTCCAAGAAGGTAATCCGAGAA